AGAGTTTCTATTATCTCATCCTCTTATTACTTCAGGATTCATGCTTTACTTGCATGATCATCTCATATTACTCACAACTTGTTATTACCCATTGAACCTATTTCTTGGGATCTCCAGTCATTTAGGTCGGGTTACCATCATGAGCAACTCATTTTTCTATAGGCATTAGTCTCATCTTATATGATGTATTATAGACTTTCTCTCTAGCTAATCCTTTCGTCAAAGGATCTGCTAAATTTTCATCAGTGCGTACATGATCCACTCTTACAACTCCTTTAGAGATACAATCTCTAACAATGTTGTGCTTTCTTCTTACTTGACGTCTTTTACCATTATAATAACAGTTCTCAATTTTTGCAATAGTCGCGGTACTATCGCAGTGGATCAACACAACTGACATATGTTTTTCCCATAAGGGAATCTCAGTTAGCAAGCATCTTAACCAACTTGCTTCTTTACTAGCAGTTGCTAATGCTATATTCTCAGGATAGTATGTTTCTTTGATTTCCAAGATACAACTCATCTAGCTATGTTGAATACATAGCCATTAGTTTCTTTGGAATCATCTGATAAGATATTCCAATCTGCATCATTGTATCCTTCAGGTACAATAGGAAATCTCTGATAATATAAGCCGAGATTCATGGTCCTTTTAAGGTACCGTATGACTCTCCCAATAGCTTGTCAATGTTCATTACTTGGTCTACTAGTAAACCCATACAACAATCCCATGACATATGCAATGTCAGGTTTGATACAATCAATGGAATACCTAAGACTTCCAATGATGCTCGTATGTTCTGTTTGTTTAACACTTTCACCAGCGTTCTTAAACAACTTCACGCTTGGATCATTTAGTGTGCTCACAGGTTTACTATCAAAGTAATTATATTTCTTTAAGATCTTTTTCACATGTTGTAATTTATCTAAAGAAATTCCTTGCTCGGATTTTGTGATTTTGATACCAAGAATCACACTCACTTCTCCGAGGTCTTTCATATCAAAGTTGTTGCACAATAATGATTTCATACCATTAATGACCTGAATGTTTGATCCAAATATGAGTAGATCGTCTACATATAGACATATGATAGTGCAAATACAATTCTCAAATTTATAATAAACGTATTTTCACTTTCATTCACTTTGTACACATTCGATATCATTAAGTTATCAAACTTTACATGTCATTGCTTTGGAGCTTGTTTTAGCCCACACAAAGACTTATCTAACTTACAAACCTTGCTTTCTTATCCATAGATCACAAACCCTTCCGGTTGTTTCATATAGATTTCTTCTTCTAAGTCACCGTTTAAAAAAGTTATTTTTAACATCCATTTGGTGTACTATTAAATTATAAATAGTGGCTATTGAAATAAGTACCTTAATGGATGTAATTCTAGTGACAGGAGAAAAGGTGTCGAAGAAATCTATATTTTCTCTTTGTCTAAAACCCTTAGCAACAAGGTGAACCTTGTATTTATCAATAGTTCCATCAGGTTTTAGTTTCTTTTTCAAAACCCATTTACAACTGATTGGTTTGCAACCATGAGGCAAGTCTACTAAGTGTCAGGTCTTGTTAGATTCTAGAGATTCTATCTCATCACTGATAACTTCTTGCCATAAATAAACATCCAGAGATGACAAGATTTCTTGAAGATTCATTAGATCTTCTTCTATACTATAAGCCGCATAATCAGGCCTATAGTCTTTAGCAACTCTTACTTGTTTACTTCGTCGAAGTTCTGTTTCTACATTGTCGTTGCTTTCTGTGCTTCTTATCACAAGAATGTGACTCGATTGTGTGCCCCCACTATTTCTCAATTTGAAAGGAAATTTGTCTTCATAGAATTCAACATCATTTGATTCTATGATCAATTTTGCATTTAGGTCATAAAACATATATGCTTTACTGTTTGCTGCATACCCAATGAAAAAACATTCATATGCTCTACTAGCGAGTTTAACTCGTTTCGGATCTGGAATTCTGACATAAGTCAGACAACCCCAAGTTCTCAAATAAGACAAGTTTGATTGTCTTTTCTTTAATATCTCATAAGGAGAGATCTTACATTTTGACTTGGGGACTCTATTCAGGACATAGCAAACAGTCAATAAAATTTCCCCCACCAGTAAGGTGAAGCACCAGAATTCATCATAATTGCAACAACAAGTTCAGTAAGAGTTCTATTCTTTCTTTCTGTTTTACCATTCATTGCGAGATAGTATGGTGCAGTTGTTTCATGTACAATTCCATGTATAAAATTCATTAATAAACTAGAATCATACAGTTTATCTATCACTACAAATTCTTATTATATCATTTTCAAATTCTTTACAAAAAATTTAAACATATAAACTTCATTCTTCGTAATGGCGTACAAATCTACCCCAATAGACTAACTAAACCATGTCTTATTTAAAAGAAAACCAGAAACAATATTCTTTCTAATCTTAGGAACCTGCATAACGTTCTTTAAGATTAAAGTCTTTTTGAAGGTGAAATTTAGCTCCATGTCTACAATTCTAGCAACAATCATGGTCTGGCCATCTCCCAGCAACATTTTCTTATCTTTAGTATTCGTGTATGTTTAAACATAACACGGTCATAGCAGACACAACGAGTGACACAGGTGTCTATCCACCAACCAATATATTTATCAACCATGTTGATTTCAACGACCATAGCAATAAATTGCCCATTAGTCAGGTTGACCTGTGCATTAGGGACAACACCAAGTTCAACCTTACTTCTACATTTCTTAGTCATATGACTTGATTTTCCATAGTTAAAACAAAGAGAAACCAACGTCATTTCTTTTAGGTGGTGGTTGTTGCCTAGTTGGAGCTATTGGGATCATAGAAGGATTCTCATTCTTAATTCGGTTCGCAATATTGTGGTTTTGATTCTTTAATCATTTGCCAAATGGCTTCAGAACTATACCGAATTTCTTTTTGTTGTTTGAAACAACCAAGACTTTTTATTTTTGATATTGTCTCTAAGATTCCCTTTTTGTTTTTTTTAAACATTCAAACTATGGGGTGGTTTGTCAATAATAAAACCAATTTGAAATTGTTCATTTAAATACATACCTTTTGTGATGATCTTTTAAGCAATCTTTTGAAGTTCGTAATATTGAGCCTCTATCGACCTTACATCTTTGCATTTGATACTTGAAGTAGCGGCTAACAACATACTTCTTTGCTCCAGCTTCTACGTCATACCTCTTTTCCTAAGTCTTTCAATCTTGTTTTGCAGTAGCACATCAACTGTAATTATCATACAGATCATCTACAAGTCTATTCAAAATATAATTTTGTAGAGATTTTCATTCTCTTTCTATAAGGTGATTTCTTTACTATGTTGTAAATCATTCGCTTTAATCTGTGCAGCAGATTCAACTTCAACAATATTAAGTGTTCCTTCTAAATCTCCAGATTTACTACCGTTAGTTTGTTCGATGGATCCAGAAGGAGCAACAGAATATCATCGATCAGAACGTTAGCAACTTTTTTTTTAACATTAAGAACTTCATCTTTTGTTGCCAATGTTTGAAGTGACTTCTCTCAAACATGAACGATTTCTCAACGACAATATCCGCAAAAGAACCAATAATTTCTTCGGTAGCCATGGCAGTTTAAAGCGTCTTAAATTTGTTGGTATCGGATTTTTAAAATATTTGCCACCGAAAAAATTACCAGGTTGAGTCGCGGACTAGGTCGCTCTCTTTAAGACATTTCACGGCACTACTCATAATTATGCAAAGCAGTCGAACTACCGCGCCGCCTCCAGGATAAAATAGTCCAGTTCTATACAATTACTACTTGCATGATAGATAATCGGTCTAGAAATACACCACTCGCAGTATCTGATACAAAGACCATTCATAATAATTTCTCAAACAAAAAGAAACTCAAATAATTCTCTAAAGAGAATATAATAATGGTCATTTGACCACTCATAATAATTTCTCTAACAAAGAGAAATTCAAATAATTCTCCAAAGAGAATTCAAAAGATTAAACTTGAAAATTTCTCAACTCAAATGAGGAGAAATTAACATAATTCTCTAAAGAGAATTCAAGAAAATACTCAGAAAATTCAACAAGTAAGAAGAAATGGGAAGAAGATGGCGCTTCGACAATTCGAGAGACGCAGTGTTATGAGAGTGAAGAAGGAAAAACTAATAGAATAGTTTTTGGTGTGATTTGGAATGAAACATATGCACTCCTTATATAGTGATATAGGATAGTTAATATTTCTCACATGATCAATGTGGGACTAAATGGTTTTTTCAACCAAAAAAATATTCTAACAATGTAGGACTTGAGAAATTTTTAAATTCAACATATTGAAACATGGATATGTTCCAACAAATAATTATATTCATCGGGCACCCTGATTGTTTTCCCCCAACTACGACAATCTCTTGTTACGATCTCTTACCTCCATAGCCCTTATTTTGTCCTCGTATACAGTTAATCCGTTGAAGAATACATGTTTGTACAAAAGAAATTTCAACCAATTGAAAAATGCTTGTTTCTTCCCAACAAAAACTAATAACACACATACATTATATGACTAAAATATTTAATACATAGCTAAAGTTAAAAAGAAACAATGACAAAGAGCGCTATTGTCTGTGAATTTGGACAGCAGTTTGAGTCGCTGATATCATTAGGGAGCATACCATCATCTATCTCTTGATCATAACCATGATTGGTGTTTCTCCATTTGTAACAACAACATTGCTTTAACTATCATCTATTCAATTTCTTACAGATTACGGACTTAAGATCACAATACATTCTTAAATAAACACTAATCCCCAAGGCGGACCAAATTGAAAGAGAAAGGATGAGAACGATCACTGCATTGACATTAGTAGGGGATATCCTAAACATAGAAAATAAATAGCTAAAGGTAAAACAGAGCACTGGAAAACTCAATAGAGCGCCTATTGGTCCTCTTGGTATCATAACAATTATTGCTATAATTGATTAAAAAAAAAAGGAAGTCATATTCAAAATTAAGAACATACAGAATTCTGGTCCTGACAAGACTGATTCCCCAGCATTGTTTGGTGTAAGAAGAGTAGAATTGGCAGAAGTGATGTTCAAATTATTATCATTACCAGCACTAGCCTGATAAATTCCACCAGGAGGACTCAGTGCTGATTGATAGGTCGCTGTTGCAACAAGAGTCGCAACTATCAACCAAGTGTTACGTTGCTCCTCTAATATATTACTTGTAATGCGAAGTATACAAGTTGTCACTTTATGTCTGATTGAGGGTTTTGATTTGAGTTTATGTGCAAATGTGGCAGCATTGGTGAATTGTAGCTTCCAAACGAATGAAGGTTTCAAGTTTATAATCTCAATGGCAAATCGGATATGCCCCAAAGATGCGGCGATGTGCAAAGGAGTTTCAACAAATGGTATAGAATCTATAATCTCCAAAATCCATGGATCATCATGAATTACTGTGTAAAGGAGATCTATATCATCGGTTTGAGCTGCAGCATTCAGTTGGTCACCACTATTAGTATTCATGTTTGAAGATAAAAAACAAAATATACGGTTTTTAATTACATCACATGACTTGAGTCCTCATTTATTAAAGAATGTTGTTCAAAAAGAATAATGTTTTAATTGATTGTCGTGTCTCTGATTTCTACACCTTTTGATTTTTGACCAAATTATTTTAAAAAGCTATTGTGAAAAGTATATAATGAAGAAACACGTAACAATAAAATAAGATTTGTAAAAAAAGTGTTGGGAGGAGCTCCTTGAAATTTCTTTGGAGCTACAAAGTTATGCCTTTTTATGGTTTTTTCCACCTAAAGCAAAAGTAAGTTGAAACATTGGATGATTAAGGCAAGGCACTTGTAAAAAAAGAGTGTTGTTATAAAAATAAAATTAAAGAAAAATGCTACGTTGACATCAAAGTCCTACGTTAGAACAAGGTTTAACTTTTTTAAATCATTTGAGTTTGTTTCACATTTAAATTCAATATTTTATTATTTTTCACATTTTATTTTATTTATTTAATTTAATTTTAGATTAAAGGTGCATTAGAGTTTTTATTTTATTTTATGTATTTAAAGACATTTGGCATGGTCATAAGTATTATCTTTCATTATAATAAAATTTAGAGTTTTCTTTTTTTATCGGATGAATTCTAGAGCATATCTGACAGATTTTGCACTTGCAATTCTATGTTTTATTCTAGGTTTAATGCGTGCTAATCTCTAGAGTTTTTGATTATGTCAGTTAGCATCGGAGTAGGTTTTCTCCTATTCTTTTCGTAACTTGACAACCATGTGTTTTTATATGGTGGATCAACCGGTGATCTGATCAGAACTTGAAGGAACTATTGTGGTTTTTATCACGACTCTAACTGCTTTGACTGAACAGATGGCAAGTTCAACAAATCAGGTGAACAACGCCAACAATAATGAAAATCGACAAAGAGACAATGGAAGAGGGTACTTTAGTATTTGTCATTTGTAGATAATTTCTTATTAGGGCCTATGTGGCATTCTTGTTTGTGTATAAATAGGTGTATTAGGTTTACATTTTAATACAATCAATTCCTTCAATCATTGCTGACAGCTTTTAGCATTTATTCCTTTTCTCTCTTCTTCCTCAATTTCATCACCTTGCACTAACAAATTGGTATCTAGAGATCTTGGTTTATTCTGAAATTCTGGGAAACACGAGTGATAGTGAGCTGTGTGTTTGATTTTTGAATCTTGAACAAAAATCTGAAACATAACTACACTGATTCTGTGGGTTTGGGAAACACTGAGTGAGAAATATGAGATCTGAGTTTTTGTGCAAAGGTTTAAGATGAATGGAGGCAGTAGTTTGAACATTAAACTTCCAGTTTTTGATGGTAAAAACTGGAACAGATGGAAGATACAAATGTGTGTGCTGTTTGGTGCTCAGGATGTTCTGGATCTTGTTTCTGAAGGTTACGTTCCAGCTGCAGCAAATGCTACTGAAGAACAAAAATCAGAAGAAGGAGCTACAAGGAAGAGGGATCAGAAAGCTCTGTTCTTTATCCATCAGTGTGTGGATGAAAATGTGTTTGAGAAGATTGTTGATTCGACGACATCGAAAGGGGCATGGGATATACTGACCAGATGTTATGGTGGTGACGTATCAGTAAAGAAGGTAAAGCTTCAGTCCTTGCGAAAACAATATGAAAATCTCATCATGAAGAACAGTGAGAAAGTTTCTTATTACATCTCCAGAATGATTCTGATCACTAATGAGATGAAGGCTTGTGGAGAAACACTTTCTGAACAGGTAATCATAGAAAAGATTCTGAGGTCACTTACGCCTCAGTTTGATTACATTGTTGTTTCTATTGAACATTCTAAAAATCTGGAAACCATGAGAATAGAAGAGTTGCAAAGCAGTCTAGAAGCACAAGAGTTGCGTCTGACTGAAAGAACTTCTGAGAGAGAAGTGGAGCAAGCTCTGAAAGCTTCTTTTGTCAAGAAGGACCAGAAGCAGAATAGACATGGTGATAAATTCCAGAAGTCAGAAACCTCAACTTCTGATGAAAAGAAATATCAGAAGGGAAAGGAAAGGTATGACAAGAAGAAGGTTCAATGCTACTGCTGTAAACAGTTTGGCCATTTTGCCAGAGACTGTAGAAACAGAGGAAGAAAATCAGAAGAAGCAAATATAGCCAGAGAAGATTCTGATGATGAACCTGTGCTATTGATGACTTCTGATTCTGATGGAAACTGTTCAGGAGATTGGTGGTATATGGACACTGTCTGTTTAAACTACTTGACTGGGAACAAACAATGGCTGATAGACTTTGACTCCAGAAGGAGAACAAAGATCAGATGTGCTGATGATAAGTACCTTAATGCAGAAGGTATGGGAAATGTTAGAGTCAGAGTGAAGAATGAAAGAAACATTCTGATCAAAGACGTTTGGTATGTTCCTGGAATTAAAAGCAATCTGATGAGTGTGGGTTAGCTCATTGAGAAAGGTTTTTCAGTGGTTATGAAGGACAACCTCTTGACGTTGTATGATTCTAATCAGAAGTTGATTATGAAGTATGAGCAGGGAAGCAACAGAACATTCAAGGTGAATGTAGAAACTTCTGAAGCGGAGTGTCTCAGTGCAGAAGGCGCTGGAGCTGACAGTAAGTTATGGCACAAGAGGTTGGGGCACCTGAACTATAGAAGCTTAGGGCATCTAAGTTCTAAGAAGCTCGTACATGGCATTTCGAAGATTGTGAAGCCTCAGAAGTCATGTGAGATATGTATGAAAGGCAAGCAACCCAGATTGCCATTTGCATCAGAAGTAGCCCCCAGAGCAAAGCATGCTCTGGGAGTAGTACATTCTGATGTATGTGGACCATTTCCAGTACCTTCACTTGGAGGAAACAAATATTTTGTCTTTTATGGATGAGTTCACAAGAATGACATGGGTGACACTCATCAAGTTCAAGCATGAAGTGTTTACTGAGTTCCAGAAGTTCAAGGTGAAGGCTGAGAAGCAGAGTGGTCAGAAGCTGGAGATTCTGAGAACAGATGGTGGAGGTGAGTATAACTCTACAGAGTTCCAGAAGTTCTGTGAGGAGAATGGAATAGAACATGAGGTTATTGCTCCATATACTCTTCAGCACAACGGTTTTGCTGAAAGAAGAAACAAAACTTTGCTTGATATGACCAGAAGTATGATGAAAGAGAAGAAGTTACCTCACATGTTATGGGGAGAAGCTGTTGCCACATCAGCATATATTATGAATAGGTGTCCAACGAAGAAGCTGAAGGAAACTATTCCTTTAGAAAAATGGACTGGAGACAAGCAAAGTTTCAGCCATCTGAAGGTGTTTGGTTCTGTATGCTACAAACACGTTCCAGAGGCTAGAAGACGAAAACTGGATGATAGAAACAAAACAATGTTACTGGTGGGGTACCACAGTACAGGTGCTTATAAGCTTTATTGTCCAAAAACCAATAAAGTTGAAATTAGCAGAGACGTCATTGTGAAAGAGTCAGAAACATGGGATTGGAACAAGCTTCAATCAGATTCTGGTGTAGTACCAACACCAGGGTTAGTTTCTGAAGATCCTTCAGAAAGTTCTGAAGACGAGTCAGAATCAGAAGATGAAGACTCTGAAGATGAGTCAGAATCTCAGGGAGATTCTGATAGTGGATCTGATTCTGATCCAGATTCTGATGATGATCCAGAATATGGTGGTGATTATACTTCTGGAAGGGAAAACTCTGAAGACATGAGGTCTGAAGAACAAGTTTCCAGAAGTAACTCTGAAGGTGGTAATTCTGAAGGAAACAATTCTGGACAAAGTCCAGAAACTAACACAGTTCCGAGTTCTGGAGAAGCTTCAGAACAACGTCAGAGGCCACAGAGAATCAGACGAATACCAAGTAGGTTTGCAGATTTTAGCATGTTGCATGATACTGAAGTAGATTCTGAAGGAAAAATCGTTCAGTGTGCCATGCTAGTAGATTCTGAACTAGTGGGTATTGAAGAAGCGCTCAAGAAGAAATTATGGCTGAATGCCATGAACGAAGAACTTGAGGCTATTGAAAGAAACAAAACTTGGAAGCTGACAGAACTTCCAAAAGGCAAGAAAGCCATCAGCTTCAGATGGGTTTTCAAGCAGAAGCTAAAGCCAGATGGATCAATTGGCAAACACAAAGCGAGACTAGTGGCCAGAGGTTTTCTTCAGAAACCTGGACTAGATTACTTTGAGGTGTTTGCGCCTGTAGCTAGACACGAAACAATCAGACTGGTGATTGCTTTAGCTGTAAACAGAAATTGGCCTTTGATACATCTGGATGTGAAGTCTGCATTTCTGAACGGTCCATTACAGGAAGAAGTTTATGTGTCACAACCTCCTGGATTTGTGAAAAAGAATCAGGAAGGGATGGTATACAGGTTAAATAAAGCTCTGTATGGACTGAAGCAAGCGCCCAGAGCTTGGAATTTGAAGATTGATTCGTTTTTCAAGGAACAAGGGTTTCAGAAGTGTGAGATGGAGTATGGTGTTTATGTTCAGTACACTTCAGAAGGTAATATAATTCTGGTCTGTTTGTATGTTGATGACATATTACTTACAGGAAGTTCTGAACAAGAAACAGCTGAGTTCAAGAAAGTTCTGATGAATGAGTTTGAGATGACAGATCTTGGAAAAATGAGTTTCTTTCTAGGAATGGAATTTATATACTCTGAGAAAGGAATCATTTTACATCAGAAGAAGTATGAACTAGAGCTTCTGAAGAGATTTGAGCTAGCAAACTGCAAGGTTGCTATCACACCTGCTGATACGAATCAGAAGTTGGACTCTGATTCTGATGGAGAGGATGTGGATGCTACAACCTTCAAACAGATGGTTGGTTCTCTGAGGTATTTATGTAATACCAGACCTGATATTTGCTATGCAGTTGAAATGGTCAGCAGATACATGAGCAAATCAAAGTGGTCTCATTACCAAGCTGCTGTCAGGATTCTGAGGTATGTAAAAGGAACTCTGAAATATGGAGTGTTATTTCCTTCTGGAGGAAAGATCAAATCAGAACTTCTGAGTTATTCTGATTCTGATTGGTGTGGAGATAGAGTTGACAGAAGAAGTACTTCTGGGTACTTGTTCAAGTTTCTGGGAGGTCTAATTTCTTGGTGTTCCAAGAAACAACCTGTTGTGGCTTTGTCAACATGTGAAGCTGAATACATTGCAGGTGCTGTAGCTGCTTGTCAAGCAGTTTGGCTTCTGAATCTGCTGCACGATCTGAAGGTTGAAGTTGAGGAACCTCTGAAGCTGATGATTGATAATAAGTCTGCAATTAATCTTGCCAAGAATCCAGTGTTGCATGGAAGAAGCAAGTACATTGAGACGAAGTATCACTTTCTCAGAAGTCAAGTGCAGAAAGGAGTGTTAGAAGTTCTGCACTGTAGCACCCAGAAGCAGTTGACAGATGTTCTGACAAAGGCAATAAAAACAGACCAATTTTTTTGCTTGAGAGATGAAGTTACTAAATTACGGGATGGTATTATAGGGTAATTTAGTATTTGTCATTTGTAGATAATTTCTTATTAGGGCATATGTGGCATTCTTGTTTGTGTATAAATAGGTGTACTAGGTTTACATTTTAATACAATCAATTCCTTCAATTATTGCTGACAGCTTTTAGCATTTATTCTTTTTCTCTCTTCTTCCTCAATTTCATCACCTTGCACTAACAGTTAATCCGTAAGTGAAGCTAACGCAAAACTTTTTATGTCAACAATGTTCATCTCCCAAAAGATAAGTCCATAAATAGGCATAGTTTGGACATAGTACTGTTCTTTGATGATTTCAACCTTGAAATCCATAGACCAGTAAATGATTTTATCAACAACAGAATAAACAATTTATATTACAATTTACTTCTAAATTTTTTTATGATTACAGCACACGCGATGCACAAAACCTTCTCTAGGATCAGCCAGGCCACAGAGGTAAGCCACACTCTACATAAAAGACAGGAAAATGAATGAAGACATAATTATATTTATAGGAGAATGACAGTGCTTACTTTGATATGTTTGTCTATTGGACTTATATGCACATTTTCCAGCCTCAACACGGTATAGGCAAGACCATGACTATGCAAGTAACATACCTGAAGTAAATAAACCATAATAGAAAATATGATTCCGCTGGTTGTTGGGCAAGTATTTGAGCCCTTATGATTAAAATAACTTTCATAAAATGTGTCATGAAAAAATATCAGTAGATGTATGTATGATTAACATTTACAATTATCTTTAATAGCCATGTCTATTTCAATTCAAATGCTCACAACCAGATGAACTAAGACATTGACAGCAGAAGAAAATTAGAACTACATCAACAAATTACCAAGATAATGTTGGGTCCCAAACTTTTGGAGAACAGTTATAAAGTACCTTTATTCAGAACAGTTCAAGACTATGTTAAGAGTAAATCTGTCATTTATTTCTCAAATTTTTGAAATTAATAAGAAAATAAAAACAATTAGAATGTTACCTCATATGCTCTTTGGAACCCCTGATGAATTCACTATCCTTGGTAAGATTGTAGCATCGGTCTTATATGAGCCAACAAAAGAATTTGACTCTGCCCCCACAACATCCTAAACCCAGTGCCAACAAAAGTCATTAACCATTGAGATTGAGACCTTGGTATATGTTCATCTTTAAAACTTGTTACAGCTAGATAGATATATAATTGTGCTTTCAAATGTTTCTGCAATTAGATGAATGGAAAGAAGTATGAAATGGGAGAAGAAATGACATTAATGATTAGGAATTTGGAAAAGAGAAATTAGAATTGAAGTGTTTGCATTGAGAAATCAAATAAAGGGCCTATTTTTTGAGAAACCAAAATGAATGTGAATAGGCAGAATTGCTGTTTGTTTTCAAGGCCTGATTTAATTAATTAATTTTAACGAGTAATAAATTTAAAACAATAACAAAAATAGTAGTTAGAAATGAATTAATTAATTAAATAAATTTTTAAATCTTAATTAGATATAATTATAGAAACATTTCTATTAATTTACCATTGCAGATACCAAACGTTGGGATTATGTTGATCTTTCGATTTTTTGGACCGAGGATCAAAATGGGTTGGTGAAACGGGATTCGGGTGATGGGTTACCCGTTTTGGCTCCGTTTTAGCTTGTTGGACCCATGGAGTTTTGGATTGAGGATGCTAAGTATATGAGAATTTCTCTCCCTGTAAGTCATGTTCTAATCTTCTTTCTATATGGCTTTTGCTCCTTGCTGTTTTGTTTGCGTTCATAGGTACTGATCAGGAGCCTTATTAGCATCTGATTTGGACGTTGTTCCATGGATTCAAAAATACCAACGGAGTCGCAAAATTGTGTCGCAAACAGATTATGAGGTAACTTTGTTTATCTATGTATCTATCTCAATCCAAACGAAGCAAAACTGTTGTTGAGACTTATGTTTGGTATCTTTTTCAGGTTGTTCTGATAAAAACTTTCACAAAATTTAGTACCTTGGAGTTGTTCATAAGTAATGAACAAAAACTTTGAGTTACTTTACATAGATTGTTGGTCTATAACATTTTGTTTTATGTCCGTGAAAGGAATGCAGATTTTAGTAGTCAATTTCAACAATTACGCGAGGAGTCCGAAGCCTATAATACTCGTAGGTACTAAACAATATGCAGCTGCGACAAAAGTTGAATTGCAACTAGGACACAAGTTGACTACTTTAGAGGTCAATACTATTTGTTATTATACACAGAATTGAATGTAATTATTTACATAATTTCTCCTTTGGAACTTCAACAAGAGTCCTTGTAGTTAGGAGCTGCTGCAATTTCTTCTAATAATCATGTTCCATCCACTGAAGACTTGACAGATCAAATAGTGGAGATCATCAACTATTTTAGGCTTGGTGCCATGATGTGTATGGGAGTAACGGTTGGTGATTTTATCCTTACTCTTTTTGTAGTACATACCATTTTAACTTCGATGTAAATATATAAAGCAGAGAGAAAGAAACAAATGTACTATTTAGTTAGTGTTTTGAGGTTTTAAAATGGAGTCGACTTTGTATTGATTTGATCTTTTTATGTTAGAATATCACTGGCCATAGGATTGCAAAGCCATTTTTCAAGTAACTATAGTTTTGGCCACAGGGACTGAATGATGTGTTTTTTCCTGCTAACTTCTTATACAAAGTATAATGTTGGATTTGCTCACAATTGTTTCACTTTTATAGATGACTCAATGCTTGATTAATTTTTGTTTCAAGATGATGACGGTGGTGAAGCACTTGAACGAGTTTATGAACGACTAGAAGCTTTGGCTCAAGTTTTTTGGATTTGTTGGAATTGGTTTCTTCGGCTCAGTTTTTCTACAATGATGAATCCATCATTTGGTGATTATTTGTTCCTGTTAGATAAATCATGCTTCCACTAAAGGATTTGTTTATTTGTTTACTTTTTCTTTTTTAGAGTACTTTTCCACTTTAAATAAATTGTAATATTATATGCTTTCACCAGGAGATATGGGGTTCTTACAGTATTGGTTAAGTGCATGTTCAAAATCATTATTCACATTGAAAAGATGTTGCATGAACAGAAGTCATTGTCATAAGATTTACTCTACTCAAACATAAGAGCACATATCTTTGAAGCTTCCGTTGAATGAAAAGTTGAAGGGTAACAAAGTTTTGTTTGCTGAAGTTGGTAATGCATCATATGACTTATCTTATACATGTTTTAATTCAGATTGCAATTCTCATAAAAGTAGTTGATGTTTTGTTGGTGTAGATGGTCAACATATGTGGTAGATGGAAAATTCAAATAAAGAGATAATATTTAAAAATCATAAAATTTTAAATAAAGAGATAATATAAAAAATAGAAATAAGTAGATATTCATTTCGGGTTTGATTTGGTTAGTATATTCTTAAATAATTTGAACCAAACAATAACAACTCTTTTTTTTTTGAAAAGGTCAAATTAATATTAAAGAAGAAAGCTGGTTAGAGCATAAGGTATGCAAAAACCAAGCGAAAACAAAGAACTCCAATATACAAAACAAAGAAACACCTACTGCCCAAAGAATTAAGATAGCTTCCTACTGCCTAGGACTAAGATAGTTCTGATACAAAGATGCAACAAAATAAGAGCACCACCACTACTTCAACAGCAACGAAAAGAATGAAAATGAATATCCAATGACCAGAACGCCAGAAAACGAATCCTTCTAAAGACTGTTTTAACAAAATATATAAATAAAGGAAAAACACATGCAAAGAAAATTGAGAAAGGTTAAAAGAAATATCATAAATCAATATCCTACTTGTGAATTTATGAAGTGAGTTATACATGTTTTTGTTTTTCATTTGACAAATGAATGTAAATATTTCTCAATTCAGTCTCATAAACGAAAGAGGCCACCTTCCTATTATTTATATACTTAGGTAACCGCCTAAACAACATAGAATGTGCTATCAAACTGGTGTATGGCCAAGAAATATGCTAGGGTCTACGTTTTTTTAATTTAATTAATTACTTAAATTGATTTAGTGGAGTGTGATGTCCACTACTTAAATTGATTTAGTGGGATGACATATTATATTAATTTAACTATTTATTAATAATTAATTGAAAAAAACTTTTTATTTTAATTTAATTATTAATTATTCATTAGTATTCTATTAATTGTTGAAAATTTTGGTGGGAAAATTTGATAGAAAAAATTACAGTATTATAATTTAAATATGAAATATGAAAAATTAAAATATATATTATTAATGTAAAACAATTTTATTTTTATTTTAAAAATATATCTTTCTTTTAAAAATAATATATTTTTTTGTTCAAATAATTTTATTTTTTTATTTATATTATTATTATATTTTAAAAATAAAAATATGCGTAAGAACATAAATACACTCACTAGTAAATACCATTAAACATAAAAATAGTAAAGGCTCTAAACTTTTTGTTTTATTATATTTAATAATTAATAAATTTTAATTAATTATAAAAATATAAAAATATTAGAAGTCGGTTCAAAATTTAAAATAAAAATTTACAAAATTTGATAAAATGGCTATGACATGCAATAATTGGACAATTTAACCATCCGATAATTTGGTTTAAAAGTAATATTTAAAAAAAACAAAAATAAATAACCTCTTTACAAAAACACATCCCAAACACAACTCCGATATTAACACTAAAAAATAAATAAATTTATAAATGTAACACCAACATGCTTTTTTTTTTCAAAAGTCTCGGAACTATAAAGGATCCTACTAACAATTTTAAACCAGAGACCTTAAAGAGACCCATAATATTCCATTTAAAAAATGCTATTTGTTTTTTATGCTTTAAAATTTTAAATCCTAAATAAAAACCTGCTGGCACTTGTTAGAATACGTAACAGTATATAGCACCATCACTATCACCCCTCTACCATAATAAAATTGAACACCTTCAAGAGTCTCAAATGAACATCATTGTCCCGAATCAAAAATCAGTTCTCTAAATTGAGGTTTAATTATAAATAAAAAATTACAAAACGAAATATAACAACCATGTTATTGCCGCTTCCCCACTAAAAATATACAACACCAATTGGTGGCTGAGATCAGCTCTATTGATTTCTCGCAGATAAGGCATGAGCAGCGGCGGGAGGACAACTCCAACTTAAAGAATCATGTCGATGATCAGTCTTCAATTAAACAGTGAAATTCTTCTTTCCTTAAAAAGACATCTACAGTAATTGCAAAAAGCAGTAACTACAAACAAGCAGATATATGAAGTCATTACAAAAAATAATCTGGAGTTTTGCGTGTAGTATCAGGCTCAATTTGCCTGGGGGCTGGGTCAAACTGAAGAAAATTCTGATCCATGTTCTCTCCGATTTCCAGTATGGCAGCCATATTCCCACATCGGTAACAGTAATTTGGAGCACTAAATACAGTGACCACATTCTTCTCCTAAAATGGTGTTATCAATATTAAGTCATTAGAAAACAGCATAAAGGTATTACTAAGGACGGGAAAAAAATAATTACCCACCTGAGCCCAATTGTATCCTTCCATAACAAGCTGGTGAGCTCTGGATATCAGCGAGAGACCATTGGTGTGATTGAACTGTGAAGCTATATCCTGCCCAAATGTGTATCCAGCACCACGTGGAGATATTCCCCACCCACAACGATCATCGGGATCAGACCATAAGAGATCACACATTGGCCCTTCATGCGGAACCTGAAATGCGCAATTACAGTTACAAGAATTAGGATACCTAGATGATATAATGATTTGTTACTTATCATATACAATAAAACCTCAACGATGTAGTTGAAACACGATTTCACCTGATGTCTCTCTCATTTTCTTTCATAACACCAAGGATGATTATATAGATTTTATCTAAGCCCTTAAAAATCCTAGCCAAAGGAACCTACAGCCTGAAGCAAGGCTGGTAACATACTAGATATTTGACCAAACCAGATAGGAAAAGAAATATGCAAAATAAGCCCCTAAACAAAGGTGGCAATTCAAATTAAGTATTTTTCAACTTAAACATGAGACAGATATTTAGCTCAAATGCGATTCTTTAGTTAAATGCAGAGCATTAATGCTAGCTGTTACACACGAACCTCTTGTATACGATCCAATGCTCTGATATTGTCCAGTGTGTCCAAAGAAGGTGAGAGACCTCCATGCAAGCAGAAAACCTAAAATATATGAGGAATTTAGAGGCCGGCATACAATTAGTTAGAAGAACGTTCTGCAACATATTTAACTCAAACCTGACTCTCAATGAGGGCAGTCAGAGGTAAGTAATCAAACAAGTCGGTAAAAAATTTCCAGACATTGGCATTTCCGTATTTTCTCAAGCATTCATCATAGAAGCCATACCTGGAAGCAGAAAATGGAGAAGAATATAGATGAAATGAAATGGAAAAGCAACAAATACAAACATTATTTTATTTTGGTAAAAAGAACTTATGTTTTTAAGGTTTATTGAGATTTTTGTTTTTTACCATTTTATATTTCCATTTCAAATCTTTGATTAATGGGTGTTAACATTAACAAGTGTCACTAAGAGCACCTTACCTAAACCTTACCTTCAGAAACTGTAATTGACAGAGGACCTAACTCTTTCACACCAAGAATGATACAATTACAAATCATATGTCAATCTGCTCTTGCTCTCCATAAAACTACCTCATATCTTCTAACTCACTAGCCAACAGCTGTTTGTAAGCTGTCATTGTCACTCAACAACTTAGAAATTGTGATCCTCTATGACTCTTATTTTTCCTAACACAGACCCAGTTAATAGGGGGTTGTTTATCATTACTTACAAGCTTGATATATGTTGCTTAAGGGTCCGTTTGGGAGTTGGTTTTCAGACGGGGAGGCTTCTTTTTAACTTTTTAAAAATATCAAACACATTTCAAGATATAGACAAAAGCCTTCTCCAAAATCCTCCAAAAAAACAACTCCAAAATGGACCCTATGCGTTAAATGTGTCATGTTAAAGTATGTACTCTCCCTAATATGTCTTGCATGTTCATATAAACAAAGGAGTCTATGTTATCAAACCAGAACGGCTGTTATCTCGGCGCGAAACAACCAAGTTAACTAATCACAACCACATCAGAGCAGCACAGCCGGCTGACACTGTTGGAGCAGCCACGATAACGGGAGCAAGAATGGAACCGATTCGGTCCTCAGTTTTTAGCAATTATGTGTTTACTAATATTAATTGTATTA